ATGTATGACACGCCTACGCTCTCCGTGCAGCCCAGAGCTCAGGTGACCTCAGGAGAGAATGTGACCTTCCACTGTCATCTGGAGTCTGCCACAAACACATTCTTTCTGCTCAAGGAGGGAAGAGCAAATCCCCTGCAGCAAACCTACGGGAAAAACGGAGCCGACTTCTCCCTGAGCCCTGTGACACCCGCTCACAGAGGCACTTACAGATGCTTTGGCTCTTACAACAACTTTGCCTGGTCTTTCCCCAGTGAGCCCATGAAGCTCTTTGTCGCAGGTGAGAACACCCCAACATGCCCCAGGTCCCCATTGGAGCCCTCAGAGAACCAGAGCCAATGATGGGAAAGGTGGGCAAAAATACAGGTGAGAAACGCTGCATTATCTACCACGAATGCCCTCACCACATCCACTGCCTAGAAGCTACTTGGTCACTTGTGAGAAAGAATGCCAGACTGGCCACGCAAACAAGTTCTTTATTCGACAATTCACGCCCTTCTTGTTTCACGTGACGGACCGCATCCGCACAATGCAACAGCCCTCCACCCCACGCCTCCTGTGTCCCTCTTTTTCATTCTCCCTTCTTCTTAGCCTTGCTGAACTTTGTCCTTGGGTAAATGCTGCCCTTGATCTCAAATGGCTGGTTGCTCCCAAAAAAAGTGCATAAGGTCCCCCTAATAGACCTGTTTAGGAGCCCTGGTGGCACAGAGGTCACATGTTGGGCTGAGATCCAACAGGTCTGTAGTTCTAAATAACCAGCCGCTCCTCGGGAGTAGACAGGGCTTTCTACTTGCGTAAAGAATTAGTCTTGGAAACTCACAGGGGCAGTTCCACCCTGTCCTATAGGGTTGCTATGAGTCCTGATTCAATGGCAGTGTGTTTGATTTTTCTTCTTTGAACAAACCTGTTTAGCTGAAAATTGTTCACTATCTTTTCATTTCAATTTTCAAGGACATTTTGAAAGGCCCCTCATACTTCTTCCAAGACAGATCTGTTTGTTCGTCTGGCCATCTGTGGTATATTCATGTTTTAATTTGTTTTTGCCAACCCCACCATTCAAATGCATAAATTCTTCTTTATTCCTTGTCCAGCATGTGAGGTGCCAGAAAATATTGTGTTTGAATCAGGTACACCTGAGTCTTCAAAATGACATCTTTGCTCTTTAATACTTTCACGAGGTCTTTTGTGTCAGATTCACGCAGTATGACATGACTATGTTGTCTGATAGCTGCCCTGCTCCTTCCATGAGCGTTGATAGTGCAGTCAAAGAACAATCCTTGGCAATTCCAAATATATATACATATTTTAAATGCCAGAGGGACAGAGTAGGGAAGGGTATCGATGATGAATACATAGCTAAACCAGGCTCCATAGAGGAGACCCCAACTCACAGTGACCCCGATGTGTATCAGAGTAGAGTTGTGCTCTATCAGGTTTGAATGGCTGAATTTTTGGAAGTACTCGTAGATCAGCAGGATTTTTTTCTGAAGCGCCCCTAGAAGGACTTGAACCTCCAACCTTTAGCCTCACAGTCCAGTGTGCTCGCTGTACCACTGAAGACTCCAACCCAGCAGCTGTTGAGACAACTCCAGTTCATGGTGACCTCATGTGCGTCAGAGTAAAACTGTGTTCCAAACGGTTTTCAATACCCAATCTGTCAAATGTCTATTTCCAAGATGTTCTTCCAAGGTACCTACAGGTGGAGTCATACCTTTTTGTTTGGTGATATTTTGTTTGATCACATCGGATGCAATCCATTTGATGGAGCTAGAGATCAGGGACGACAGCTTGACGTCTGGATTAAACCTCACATCACTCACTCACTGCCATTGAGTCAATCCCGACTCATCGTAGAGCTTCCCTTGGGGGTTTCCAACACTATAACTCTTTGTGGGAGTAGAAAGTTGCTTCTTTCTCTTACAGAGCAGCTGGTGGTTTCAAACTACTGACCTTGGGGTTAGCAGCCCAACTTGTAACCAGTACACTGCCAGGGATCCACAGCCTTTAAGTAGTCAAGTCTCTGGACTATTAATACCACCCAGGGACACTAATAGATGGGTAGACCAGAAGCAACTCAAACCTGCTACTCTTTTATTTCTTGTTGTCATGGATTGTCAGGATCGATGGAAAACACCAGTCCTGTGCCGACAGAGACCACCTTTAGTGATGGTGAGTAACCGATACCTCTAAGTTCAAGAGAATGGTTAGCGCTTCCCAAAACATGACAAAAAATGTGATTCATTGAACACATCCATTGAGCGCCCAGCGTGTGCCAGGCACTATGGCTTTATCAGTCAATCAAACAGACAAACATTTTTGCATCTGTACTACTTATATTGCAGCAGGAGATAGGTCACCATCAAGTCAAGACAAATGAGTGGACTACAAAGCACATCTGGACATGATAATATGGCAGACCAGGGGAAAGGTGGCAGAGTGCCACTTGGGGAGGGGAAGAGAGCAATGGTTAATAGGTTTATCAAGGTTGACTCCATGGAGGAGGAGGCATCTGAATAAACAATGAAAGGAGCTAGAGGAGTTTGTCCCATGCCTATTTGGAAAAAGAAAGCTTCCCAACAGAGACCGGAAGATGCTCAGTGTGATCAATGACACTAAGAAGAAAGGGGATTCGGAAAGGACATCAGAGAGGTTATCGCACGTCGTTTCCAGATGGTGGGGCTGGTACGGGTGATGATAGGGGTCAGAGATAGTAGCTTATGTGGGATGTTGGGTAGGGGTAGGGTGGTAGCTCATGATGCGTGGTGAACTGGGGGCCTGGTAATAGCTCATTGAGGACCTTGACAAATGGTAAGACTATGAATTGTGCTGTTTATGAAGAGGAAGAAATAATGATTTCATAAAGAAAATGAGATTTGGATAGGAGATGTGGCATGCATGAAGACACACAACAGAGTAGTTACAGCTCTGTTCATTGTTACTCTTACATATCTTTCGGCTCTTCTGTGCCACCTGCCAGATGAAGTCACTAGGACTCAAGGTGTGGGGTGAGGCCCTTGGAAATATATAGGCTATCATGGAGTGTATCCTAGAGAAGAAGGTGGGATGGGGTAGTCCAAGAACATCTTCTTTTTCTCATTTCTCCACTTTCCTGATTATCAGAAAAAGATTTGCGGGACCTCTGCCCTTCCACCACAGAGACAAGATTACATAAAGGTAAGTAAGTACGGATTGTTGGCTCTAAAGAGAGCACTTGGGCAAGAAGCATGATTTGGGGACGAAAAGGGGAAGGGGTGGTGGAGAGGTGATGTATGTATGGTCTCATCGATGACGACTCTGTTCTTCTGACCCCAGAATTTGCATCCTGGGACCTCACTGCCCAGAATCTCTTTCGAATTGGAATAGCCGTTCTCATCCTCATGGCCATGGTCGGGCTGCTGGTTAAGAGCTGGTGCAGCAGGAAGAAGACTCAAGCACAACTCACTGAGGTTTCAAGTTGGGATCCTAGGAGAAGGTCCAGAGCACAAAGACCACTCAACAAGAGGCAGTGGCCACAGATAGAGCTGAAGGCTGATCCTTGAACTTGCATTATGTGAGTTCTGTGTTGGACTCAAGAAGGTGGGAGTCATTGCAGGAAACAGGGGATAAGGAGGGAGGGAGGCATGAGTACTGGCCAACTGTTTGTTATAAAGATTTCTTGGAAACACAAAACACTTTCATTTCTCTCTTCTTTTCTAAAAATCATTTTATTGGGGGTTCTTACCGCTCTTCTAACATCAATTGCACCAAGCATGTTTGTACATGTGTTGCCATCATCATTTTCTAAACATTTATTTTCTATTTGATCCCTTGGTATCAGCTCCTCTTTTCCCCCTCCCTCCCGTGACTTTCATTTTATTTCCGAGTAGCCAGGACTTAAAAGTTACCTCAAGCCAGGTAGGTCTGGAAAGGCCATCTTTCCTCCAGGTGGCTAGGTAGTAAGCAATTCTCAGTACCTCTATTGTTAATGAGGGATCCCTGGGTGGTGCAGAAGGTTCACATACTCAGCTGCTAACTGAAGGGTTGGAGGTTCCACTCCAACCAGCGGTGCCTGAGGAGAAAGTCTTGGTAATACAATACCCCAAATCAGCCAGAACACGGGTCTACTATGACACACATGAGATTGCCATGTGCTGGATACACACACACACACACACACACACACACACACACACACACATAGCACATGTGCGCACACACTGCCATTGAGTTGACTTCACTCAAAGAGACTCTCTGTATGACTTCTGAGATTGTAAAAAAATTTTTTAGATTTTTAAAATTATTATTATTATTAGTTGGGATTTAGTACATGAGTACATATAGCATATTATTGCATATAAATCTTTAAGGGCCTTAAGGGGGCAGATAGCCTCCCTCATCGTTCTCCTACAGAGCAGTTGTAGTGCCGACCTTACAGTTAGCAGTTCAGTGCTTCCAGCAACACTGCCAGGTCTACACACACACACACACACACACACACACTCATATTTAAACACCCACCCACTGCCATTGACTTGATTCCTACTTATGTTAGGTGCCATCGAGTCGGTTCATCTGGAGAAAGACCTAGCGATCTGTTCCCATAAAGATCACAATCTAGAAAGCTCTATGGAGCAGTTCTACTCTGTCACACGGGGGTCATCACAATGAGTCAGCATTGGCTCAATGGGCCGCAACAACAACTACACTTACTGGTCACGGAGCTGGAGACCAAACTCCTTGGACTATGACCCACACTACTAGCAGTCTCTCATTTTTCCTCCTCAACTCACAGGAAGCTGGTCTGGCTCTCCACCCTCCGGGCACGTTGGCTTGGCTGTGGCAAACTCTGGTGAGCTTTCTGGCACCTGCGGTGGCCAAGCCCTTATCTTTAGTCATCTGTCAGTTGTATTCGACACTTGACCACATCCTCCTAGAAACAGTCACTGTGCTGACTTCCTCTACAGCCCTCTTCTCCCTTTTCTGACATCTCCTACACCATCCTAAGCGATGAGCGTGGCATAACATAAAATTACTCATTCTGAAGTTAGCAAGGTCATGAATTGAGCCCGTTCACTGTAGACTTCATTCAAACCATCCATTTTAGCTACCCATGATCTTTACTATCTCTATTCTGGATAGTTCATCAAAACTGAACCCTACAATATGGCTGTTTTAGTTACCCAGTGCGACCAAAACAGAAATTCCACATGTGGGTGGGTTTAATGAGTATAAATCTTTTTCTTCACTCTCTAGGAGGCCAGGGTCAAAATCCAAAGCCTCAGTCATTAGGGGGGAAGGCTCTCTCAGCGGTGGGGGAAACTCCCGATCTCTTTCAACTTCTAGTCTTAGTGATCTCCACGTGGCCTCAGTCACTCCCCACTTGCGCTTGCTGCTTCTAAGCCTCACCAGCTCTTTTTAGATCTCAGAATTGATTGGTTTAAAAAGCACCTTCCAGAATCCAACACCAACAGACATGTGCCCACCTATGTTTACGGCAGCTGTTTCCATAACAGCAAAAATCATGAAAACAACCCAAAATTCAATTTATAGAGGAATGGATGAGCGGACTCTAGTACAGTCCTACATGGAAGAGCATGCATCAATTTAAAAACAATGACGACTCTCTAAAATACCGCAAGACATGGACAAAACCAGAGGACATTATGCTGAGCCAAGTCAGTCAATCTTATAAAGATCAATGCTTCATGACACCATTATTGGAAGAAGAGGGGGGAAATGGAGGAAAAGGAAAGTGGTTTTCACATGACCGGATAGACTTTGGAGCCAGGGCAAAGGGTGAGGGCAGGGAGAGGTGAGGGACAGGAAATTATCAAGAGAGGGAAGAAGGATGGGAAGGGGGGGAAAGAGAGAGAAGCACATTGATGGAGGATCTGATGGGATACTGTTACTGATTTCATTTGATGAGATGGGCCGTCCAGCTCCATAGAAAATGATTTTTTAAAACCCAACATAAATGAAAAATGAAAAAAACTGCGAGTGAAGGCTCACAGCCTTAAAACCCCTTGAGATTCCTTTCCCCTCGGGTCTAAATATTGGCCTGAGTGGTTAATAAAGGAGAGAAAGTCAAACTGACGTGGACTTCTGGGAGTCCTTAGTGACATACAAATTCGTTTCAAACATACAGAAAAACAAAACAACCATTTCATTGATAGTCTTATGAGCACCACAGAGATAACCCTATTTCCAGATGGAATGACCTCCAC